TAGAAAAAAAGCTTATCGATAAATAAAAATGCATATTGATCGATATCGATAATTATTGAAAAGATTTGAAACCATATTTTATGTGCAGCTCTGCCTGGACTTTTTATAATATTGCTAAATGATTTAATTTTAATAAAAAACACAGACTTCAAATTAAATCTTTATTTAACCAACTTTTTTAACCATAACAGAATTGTTTTAAAGAAAAATAACTCAGGTCTCTTAAGTTATTTTTTTTTTTAAACAATTCTGTTATGGTTAAAAAAGTTGGTTAAAAAAATATTTAATTCGAAGCCTGTGTTTTTTATTAAAATTAAATCATTTAGCAATATTATAAAAAGTCCAGGCAGAGCTGCACATAAAATATGGTTTCAAATCTTTTCAATAATTATCGATATCGATCAATATGCATTTTTTTTTATCGATAAGCTTTTTTTCTATATCGCCCAGCCCTATTATCTAAGTTAGCGGCCATGCCCTCCCTGCTACCACCCCCACCCCCACCATCACCTCCACGCAGAGGGTAAGTTACACTTTAAAGAAGCCTAAATAGAATCTTTGAGATCATGTAAATACGAATTACGTTTAGAGTCTGTTAAAATGACCTTTTGCAGTGAGCTTCTCAGAGTTTACGGATTTGCAATGTCTAAAATGTTCCCCAAACCTCACCCTGTTCTTAAATGGGGGACAACATTCTGAGACTGAAAGAGGGCAGTCGTAACTTTTCATCTGATCTGTTTTTTCTCCTCTAGATGCAGATCTACTGTTATGAACCGCATCACTTTGACTCTTTAGAGGAAGCCATCCGGGACAGAGGCAGGATCACAGCTCTAGCTGTGCTGTTTGAGGTATGTGTTAAATAAAAAAAGACAAATGATTTGTCTTTATTGTATTTTTATGCATATAATAATTTAACATAATTAAACTTTATTTATCTCACAATGGAGAAATTCTCTCTCTGCATTTAACACATCTCCTTGGGGAGCAGTGGGGTGGGCTGCCATTGTGCGGCACCCGGGAAGCAGTGTGCGGTTAAGGGTCCTGCTCAGGGACCCAGAGTGGAGGCTGTGGGGATCGAACCGGGTACTTGCAGCCTTCTCAAAAGGCTAGGCCACCACTCCCGTTATGTATATATACATACAGACCAAATGGCCTCTTATGAATTAGAATTGATGTCGTTAGGAACGTTATGTTCATCAAGCAGTTAGCTGAACGAAATAACGTCTTTTAACTAAAGTCGTAGTTTGAGGAGTAATAAACACATCATATAAAATAGTTAAAAGGAGATAAGAAATCCCCATAATTAATCATTAGTTACATATTTGGTAGATCTTCTTTGTTTAGCAGTTAAATATAGTTTTTTAAATAAAAAAAAAAAAAACTAAACATAGACAAATAAAAATGAGAGGTTTTAGATGGTAGTATGACCTAACTTAATGCTTATTTTTAGAAGATCAGCTAAAAGTGAAAAATGTTTGTAGAGTTAAAGAAGCTGAAAGTGAAGTGATTGGTTTAGGTAGACTGACGCAATATCCTCAGATGATCTGAATTATGAATGTTAAACAGTTTTACTCCTCAGGATGTTAAAAGGTTTATAATCTCCAAAAATGGAGACAAAACAAAGATAACATTGTTTACTGGTGTGCTTCTGAAGCCCTACTTAAAAAAAACTACTTTAAGATTAAAAAAAATAAATAAAAACAGGTTTAACAGTAAAGCATGTCTATTCTGTTTCGCTGCTTTTCCTTTTGATCTGGGTAGCCTGGGACTCTAGAAACAAATTGTCATAAAGCGGGACAGATGGACCCAGTATTCAAGGCGAGACAGTCAGTAGGAAAGTTCAAAACGTTTATTAAATAAAAACAAACAAAACTAAAATGGAGCTGCTAGGATCTGCGACTCTCGGCTACTGCAGGAGGGGGGGGCGGGGCAAAGCCCAATCTCTGACACTCTGTGGGAGAAACACAGGTAACTGACCACGATGATCTGACATAAGATGATGATCTCAGTGTCAGGAGCTCAGAGGTTTGGACCCAGAATTCAGACGATACAGACAGTGAAGCTTTAAATTAGTTTATTGAACAAGCTGCGTGCGGCTGCTCATCAGCTGGCGCGGGTCCACTGGATACGCTGCGGGGATATGGACTCAGATAAATATTTCTGAAGCTCAATCGGGGAATTATAATGAGCTGAAAGTCACCAACCTGGCAAAGTTCAGTCTGAGCTCAGAAGGAGGATTGAGGTCCGGAGGAGCTGAGCTCCACAGCGTGAAACTGAGCCTGAACCAGAGATCCAGAAAGAAAGAGGACCAGTGATCAGCAGCAGCTAGAGCACACAGAGAAAACGAGGGAT